TGAGAACTTGAAACGGATCGGATCGGCCTCCGAACGACCGCGATCCCATCGAGATGGATGACCGGTTTTGCTTGCCTCATTCTCCGGCGAGACAGAGCCACGCATATGAGAACGATGTCCCGATCTTCTTGAAGCATTCTCTTCATCGCTGGCCGAGTCCGCATGCTCCCTTGGCCGTTGATCGTCGTCATCCTCATCGTCCTCGTCATGATGATCTTTGTCTTCATCACGATCATCCGGTTCATCCTCATCCTCCGAATGTCGTGCACCTCGTTTACGTTCAGCAGCTAAAACTGCGGCGGTCGCTGCACCGGCAGCAGCGCGGGCGGCGTCCCGTTCGCGAAGCATGTTCGCTCGAACAATGTCTCCGGGTTGACTGATTTTTGCTCTTGGATGTAATGGGGACAGCCAACAAACATCGTCCGTTTTCGTGTTCCAATAGTAAAACCTGACCGGAAAAAATCGAGAAAACAGTTAAATCCGGTTGTGTCAGTTTCAGTTCAACAAGGGGAGGAGGAGGGAGCAGGGAATACGCAAAATAAACAAAGGGATTTTTTCAATTAATCGCTTTATACACCTCGAAGGGTACAACAACAACAACTACATAACCACAGTGTGTGAACGGTTTAAAAAGAAAATGCGAAATATAATAAAGCACTTAAACGAAGTGAAGCGGACAGCAGCATCAAAAAACGAATGGCATACCAGGATGTTTAGTATTGGTTTAGTTTAGCGTTTCGCGCAGATTTTCTGCAATCAACTCCTGGTTTGCAAGAAATCTGGCGAGATACAGTACAAAAGAAGCACCTGTGCGCTTCTGTGCATGCTTTTATAAGGTTATGACTGGAACGGGTGGACGAATGAGAAAGGTACTGACTAAAGAGTTAAGGATAAAGTGGGTAGGAAATATCAGATAAAATCTTCTTGGAGAATATCTTACAGGACTTCAGGTGGTGTGCCACCACATGCTGTGCCAGATGTTTCTGTGGTATAAGGCTACATACCGATAGAACCTTGAGGGCTTGGGAAATGAATGAGGGGTTCTTGTTAAAATGACCGGGGAAGATAACAGGGGACCTATAAAGCCAGTGGGGCAAAACGCAAGCAAAAACAAAACAATTCCCCATCTGTTATCTTTATTGTCGCGTGGGTACCATGCTTTTTGCAAGCCCATGTGATATATATATATATATATCATTGGCTT